AAAAGCTGTACAGAAGGGAAACTGCCATCTGTAAATGACGGGAGATCCCCCGAGCCCAGCGCTTCACCTCGGGCACCCGACAAGGTCCAGAGACGCCTGTTAAACTCGTTCCGGTACCTAAAACAGAGAGTCGGTGCCACCTCCGTGAGCTGACGGGTGGAGCAGAGCCGTCCCCGCAGAGCCGTGCCGCGCGGGGCTCACGACAGGCACGGCAACGGCCGCCACGACGTGCAGCCGCACGGCCTCACCCGCCGCCGCGTTGCAGCAGGGGAGGGAGCACCGACACCCAACCCGGGGCGGGACGTTAAGGCTGAAGCACAACCTGCATCTGCAGACGTGATTGAACGCGTCGAGTATCAGACAGGAGTTGTTATTTTGTGCTTTATTTGGGTTGGTTTTTTTTTTTACTTTATGCTCTTTATTCTACTCTTTCGGCGGGCCAGGCCATTTCTGTACACCGTTTACACCGTTCCTTGTACTCCAGCCATCTGCAAATCCCCTTCCCCTAACCTGTAACAACAGAACGAGGTCCCTGCTTCAGCGTCTTGGGGCAGAGATTCCTCCCGCAGCCACTCAGGCTCCGCGTAACGACCGATCTCCCAGCGATCCCAGCCAGCGAGGGCCAAGCAGAACCTGAGGTGCCCTGAGGAGGCTGGTTTAGGCGATCCGCTGGCAAGCGGATCCTCCAGATCACGGGGTGGTTCTCTGCTGCTCCGGGATGTCTCTCACTCGGACGCGGCGTCGCTTCGGCCCAGGGAACATCACCGACGCCTTTCTGGAGACCATCTCACCTGAGGTGGAAAAGCACGTGGAAATTCCTCTCACATTAGGTTACCCAGGATACTCCCTTCCCTCCAGCCCTGGCCAGAGGAGAAGGAAACACACACGAGAAAAATCCGTGCGCCAAATGGAAAACAGTAAAACCGGGAGGGAGTTTTTTATTGGCGAGCAAAGGGAGATAAAAGTCATCCGCGCAAGAAAGGAGCGTGGCTGTTCAGCTCGGGCAGCGTGACTGCCCTGGGGAGCGCGAGCGGTGCGAGCAGGACGCGGTACAACCGTGTCACACGACCAGCGAGTCGCTGCCGTTAAACGTTAGGAAGGATGCAGAGAGAGATACCAACGGCTGTTTCCTGGGCTGAGAGGGGATGACGGAGCGACGTGCTTTGGTTAAAATACTTTTCCGTATGAAATATTCACGAGCAAACCGGTTTTGCTCTTTTTCTGTCACAAGAGGCAGGAACAGGTGACAGGGCTGGGACTCCTGAATTTCACTGTTCTCCCCTCGATTCAAGGAGAGGCCGATCAGCCGCAGCAATAGCGTCTAAGATCGGTTGTCCTTACGGCCTTCCCAACACTGCCGTTGCTCTCCTGACTAGAAAACTCAGTGTTTTCTGAGAAGCTCAGTAGCTTCTGCACCTTTCTAAGACACATGTCCCTCCAAGTAGACGCGCCAGCCACTTTGGCAGATCCCTCCAGCCGGTACAGGTTTTAGGATTTTGAGCAACTTCATTTATTTCTGCTCAAAGGTCAGAAAAGAGAGTCCCTGGAGCCCTCTCCCAAGGGAAGAAAAGCAAGCTTTCCTCCGAGACGCCTGGACGAAGCCATTCGGGGACTGCCTGCCTTCTCCAAGCCAGGCTTCACTCAGGAAAAGCGGCAGAGTTGTCGCTCACCAGGTCCACCTCCTCGGCCTCCTGCCTCTGCCTCCTGTCCTTGCCCCTCCGGGGCTGCCATCACCTCCTCCTCGTGCCCACCAGCATCTCCCCAGCTAAGGTGTCATCCCTAGGGCTGCTCAGTAGATCACTTCCCACCCCGTTAGATGGAACTGCTCCCGGTTAGACAAGACCGATGAGGTTTCTGCAGTTCCTGGGACTGTTCGGACAGCAGCAGCAGCTGAAGGAGCCGTAGCGTGGTCACGCTGACAGATGTCAGAGAGCAGCAATCACCACGGCAGAGCCGCGGGGCAGCCGAGAAGGCGCTCATCTCCCTGCGCACCGCTGGAGCCAGGAGAGGGCAGGTGATGGGGGCCGCAGCCTCGGCATCTCAGTCGAGGCTTCTTTCCCACGCGGTTTCATGGCCTGCCTGGGCCAATTACTCGTTAACAGCACCCAGCACCAGGAAACAAGCCTGAAGTTGTGATTTCCCGAGTAAATACAGAAATACAAACCATTGTTTTACTTTCTGAATCTTCTACGATGAATGAAAAGGAAGCGGGATTATGGAAGCAGGCAGTAGACCTGGAATGCGAGCGGCCTCGCGGTCCAGTTCCACCGAGTCCTTGCCCGGTGTCGTCATCAATTCTTTCAGGAAAAGGTTTGGTGTTTCGCGTGCCAAAAGAAACACTGGGCAGGAAGGCACAAATTACAGTCATGTTTGTGCTTTTTAGTCTTAACTAGCTGATTTATGGATTTTGATGAAGTGATTAGAGATGAAAGAAAACATTCCAGGGAACAAGATCTGCACGTGGCTGCAGTCCCGTGTCTGTCTTTCTGTATGAGTTACTGTGGAAAACAAAACAGGAAAACGACCAGGGGCAGCTGGTCAGCACACACGCTCTTCTCTTCTGTCGTAGAGCACCGGCTGCGTGCCCAGCGCGGCACCAAACAGAAGGCAACAGTACCTGCCCTAAAGGGCTTGCTCTCTAGACAGACACGCGACAGATTTCCGACTTCTGTTTGGGCTTGATAACGGCAAGGAGGAGCAGCGATTGAATTCTGTTGCTCAATAAATAAATAAATACAGAACTCATTTGTTACCATGCTCGTTATTTGTGTTGCTAATGTGCCTAGAAAGCCCAGTCATGGACCAGGATGCCACTGTGTTACACACAAGCGCAAAACAGATGCTGTGCCAAGTAGTCTTAGAAAGGCAGTGGACAGCTACAGAAAAATAGGCAGGAACGAAAGGGTTGTCACTGTGGAAAAGGGAAATGTTGAGGAGGAGGATGAGATTGCTCTGCAAAATATACAGAAACATATACAGAAATATATACAAAATATACAGAGAAACCCTCCAAGCATGAGAGCTGCAGAGAAGAAAGCACAAAGGCACTTACTAAAAAAAAAAAACCCAACATGTATCAAGTAGGTTATAGAAACTGACGCTGTGAACCGATTTGAGGCAAAGGTTAGTACTTCATACTGAAATCGAGACAGGCAGGAATGGGCTGGGAAGGATCTAGAAAAAGAGGCACAGTTTTTGATGCAGCCAAGGGATGGGGCCAGCAGAAATGTGCCAAGAGATGGGTAGCCTGGTCAAAGCGAGAGGGCAGAGCGATCTTTACAGCAGCTCTTCGTGTGACACGCTACGTGACTGCGCTTGTCAAGGCCGGGCAGAAGGATGTTGTGGCAACGGGGGTGCACGATGATGAAACCCCACGTTAGTTTACAGTACGTAGCCTGGCTGGGGGGAGCTTCCCTCTTAGCAACGTTACACAGTAAAGGAACTGCGGGGTTGTATGTCACATCAGTGCAAGGAGCTAGAAGTGCTTCCACGTCAGAGGATACTCGGGTTACACACAGAATCAGTGAAGCATCCCTAATGACTGGAAAAAGATACACAGAAAGGATCAAGAGAAGAAGAATAAGCTCAATATTTAAGCTATGTTGAGACTGAGCTATTGATTAGGTAACTGTGAAGAAGTTTCAGAAGAACAGGCAAGGACTTTAACAACGTACAACTATCTGGTTAAGTAAATGTATGGACTTACCTGAATTTGCATTTACGGATGAAGAATCTCTATTCGGGCATCTGCGTTACTCTGAAATAGCCAATTCTTCATCCGTAAATGCAAATTCAGGTATCTGCGTTACTCTGAAATAGCCGGAGAGGAAGCTGTGAGGTCTGTGCCCTCCAGCCTGTAACAAAGTTAGAGAGGAAAAGGGGGCCAAGGATTTCAAGAGCAGCGTGACTTTAGCAGCTGCTTTGCACAGCCAAAGCATGTACAGACAGAGTGCTGGTTCTGACACTCGGCTTGGGAGAAGTCACTGCAGGCTTTATCGGGCAACGGTGGGGAATGGGTGTATATTTAAAGGAGGACTTCGAGTGTGCATGTATTGCCTCAGTAAAAAAAAAAACAAACACAACAAAACAAGCTAGCATAGATGAAAGCACCGAGAGACAGAGAGAAATGTTCTAGCTTTATGGCTGTCTCAATGAATGTCGTAAAGTAACACAGTTTAATTTAGAGGGTGGCCACACAAAAGCCTGCAATTCACCAGAGCAATATAGCAAAGGCAGTGCGTGCAACCACGTGCCGCGCTACCCACCAGGCTTTCGGAGAAGCGGAAGCCCCCGTTTGCTGTGCCAGCAGCATACAAGTAAGAATTGTGATGAAAGACTACAAGCTCGCTGGGAAGCACGAGGCAGTAAGTGCACTTACAAAGACAAACGCTCTTTGCTACAGCTATGAGAACCGAGTCTCTTAAGGTACCAGGGAACAACAGCCTGCATGAGGAAAAGTCACCACCTCACCAGGTACCAAAGGACGTGAAACGTTCAGTAAAGTTCAACTATTGCTGTGGTATATCCAGACTTATAGCTCACTTCCCAAGACAGAGGACGCACTGACAGCAGGAGACGGATTTGAATCCTACACTAATTAGACTGATCTGACTCGAATGCCTTCTCTCCTGCACTTTATTCTTTACCTAGCACAGTGGCTTTATTTCCTTACCACTTCTTTGATTGCACCTCGGTCCCCATTTCCTTGTACAAAACCAGCAGAACAATGCCAGGATAAGCCAGTGTATGAAAAACAGCTGCCATGCCAGGCCGCAGCCCAGAATTTCAGCCATTTGCAAAGGTTGTGCGTTACAACAGTAATTGGATTAGAGACTGCGGTTGGCAGGCACCACTGGAGCAATTTATTTCTCTCCAGTAAAGAAAGAAGGGTATCTTTCATGCCACTGGAGCAATTTATTTCTCTCCAGTAATGAAAGATACCCTTCTTTCTTACCAGAGAGTGACCTAGAAAATTTGCTTGACATACAACCTGGGATCTTCAGGGAGATAACCTGTCTTTGTACTGAAGTGGATGCGGACAGATAGCACGGTTAGTTACCATAACATCTCTGAGCTGATAAACCTCCCAGACTGTACCATGAGGTACGTCTCATTCCAGCAGAGATCCCAGCTTAGCGGCAAGCCAGGTACGGGTACCCGTGTCACCTGAGCTCCTTTTAAAATCCCAACTGTAGCAAACGGCATGGACGTTAGCCTGCTCAAATCCTCTTTGCGTATACCTTTAATCTTTAGCCACTGTTAGTAATAGTATTAGCACTTCTTACAACATAGGGCACTTCTGCCTCCTCAGCACTTATGTTAAAACAAACAGTCCACTGTCCAGCGTCATACCTGCACTGCAAGTGTAAAAAAATAAATTCCACAGCCAGGAATGCGAGTTCATGAATGAAAACCATCAGGTTTACAAGTTACTCAGGTTCCTGAGCTTCCAAACAGTCTCTCTGTCCCCAGACCTGTTCAATGTGGCTGGCAGGGAAGAGAGAACTTACCGAGTGACTCACATCAGATCTGCACACGAACACTTTCCTTTAGAAACCGATACAAACGCAGCACTCTGAGGACATTAGAGCACTGGCTCAGTTTAAAGATCTGTGAGATGGCCATCTATTTTGTATACAGGCAGAAAGAATCAAAACAAGAAGAGCAGTAAAAAAGCTGTTCCGGGCGGCAGTGGAATCGAAAGCCTACCAAAGGAGCGCTACAGCTCAGCCAAGGGACCCTGACCAATGATTCTTGCCAGCACACCCCATACGCTTTCCTGATAAAACAGCTGCT